TTTTTTAAAATTGACTTGAATTTAGAAAAGCTCAAAATTAAGATAAAATAAAATAGAAACAGGTATGATTTATTTTATAAAATATATCAAAATACATTTATTTCTATAATAATAATTAATTTCTGTTGTATTTATCAAACCCAAACATTACAATATTTACTATTCTGCTTAATAAATAATAATTGACTAACTATTTCAGGTGATAATCGATTTCTTTTAGAGGTAATATGATTTCCTGCATCTGAAAAAAGACATTCACTTGGAACAGAGGTTGCAGGAATTGACAAATATTTACGTGCAAGTTTACTTAAAATAGGAAAAAAGTCTTTTTTAGTATGCCACTAATTATAAACATCGATATTAATGTCTAGATCTAGGGTAATGGATTCATTTAGGTAATTGTCAATTTCAATTTTGCGATTGATTTGACTTTGACTTTTATTAAAAACTCTTCTCATAAAAGAGGGTGCTGATGAAGAATATGATATCTCAGTAGGTCTAGTCACTTCCTTGCCTTGTAAAGCTTTAAATTCAGTGCGTAACAACTCAATTATATCATTTTTTGTTATACCTGACCATGCATTCATTGACTTTAATCATGGATCCAGTAAAGTGGCAATTAGCCCAATATCCTCTGGATTATCCCAATAATTGCAGAGAGACTTATAGATTACTCTTTGGACATTTGAGATTATTTGTTTATTTGAAAATGACTCTTGATATCTACTCATAGTTGATTCTTGAGGTATATCATTTTCTGAGATTTCATCCTATTGCTATCATTATCAAATAATATTTCATCTAAAATTAACAAAATTTTTTTAATTATTAATTTTATTTTTAATTTTAGATCAAATCTATTTGATTCCATTTTATACATACTATCATTATCATTATTAATTGTTTTTTCAATTTCTTCTAATACATAATCAAGGCTATTGGCAAAATCAAGCTTTAATGCCTCAATGCTTGTATTGATAACCGAAAGAGTGTGATATTTAATCCCACTAAAATAATTTATAAATTCATCAAACAGTTTGGGTATTTTTACTATTTTCTCTAATAATTCCCACTCATTTTTATTAGGTATGAGGGGTTTTAGCTTACGAGAATCTTCTTTAGCATTGTTATCTTTTTGTAAAGGTAAGGTAGCAGAAAGCCATTGAATTGCACTATGTAAAGCCAGAATCTGTTTTCATGACTGATAAGTTGAGTTCTACCGAGTTTTTGTATCATTGATAGTGCGTAAAATCTTTAATTCTGTTAATTCTGTTTCCTCAGAAACTTCTGTTTTAGGTAAATTGTCAGTTTCATAGAATTGAATGGATTTATACTATTATTACTACTACATCAAATTTGTGCTTGACTAAGACGTTGAGATTGTTTTGATGACCAGAAGAATTTAACAAGTTTGCAGATTCATTTAGTATACAGTTTAATAACTTCTAAGGCTTTATATACAGTAAGCTGAAGTGTATGTACAGTACAAGAAAGGCGTTTTACACTATTCCAAATTTTAATAGCCTTTTTCATATTCACTCCATTGTCTGTTACTGCACAAAACATTTTTTCAGATAATCCAAATTCATTTATTTTATTATACAGATAGTCTTTTATTCTTTCACTTGTATGAGGATATTCTATATGTTCAATAGCTAATAATACATCGCATACCTCGAAGTCCAAAGTTAACCAATGAAGTGTTACCTCAATATATCCATCATTATTGCAGGAAGTTCATAAGTCTGTTGTTATGGAGGCAGTCTCACAGATGTCAAAAATCAATTCCTTAAGTTCTAATACTCCTTTTTGATAAGCAATAATAAGGTCTGTTCTAATGGTTTGATAACAAGGTGGCATAAATGCAGGGTCAAGGCAATTAATCATTTTTCGATAGCCTTTTCCATTGACAACGTAAAATGGCAGAGAATCAGTAACTAGCCATTCAGTTGTAATCTTTCTTAATTCGGCTTGTTTGGGTACACGATGTAGGGTTACTTTTTTTACCTTCTTGTTGAGGCACATCTGGTGTTTTGCATTTGGATTTACATATGATTTATTATCTGGTGACAAAATTCCATGCTTTATTGAGAGATGTTGTTTCATGTTTCCTGTTCTACCATCATGCTTGTAATTTACTCCACATATAACTTCTTTACCTTTTCGAAAAACCAATATCTTGCAGACGTCATGTTCTTTTTCAATTTAAAGTAATCTCAAACATAAGACTTTTTGGTTGTAGGATTAGCCAGTTTAGTAATATTTACTTTAACTTTTTTTGAACTTGGTTCACCTTCAGATTCTCTTTGTTTTTTTTTCCAGCAGATATATTAGAAGGTTCATTAATTTCTTGGACATCGTCATTTTTATCATAAACGGGTTCATCATCAACGGGTTCATCATCAATGGGTTCATCATAAACAGGTTCATCATAAACAGGTTCATCATAAATGGGTTCATAAGTGTATTTGTTATCGCTATTTATAATTAAGTATGGATCAAAAGATTTTAAGTTGGGTTATTTTTTTCTTTTATATAATAGTGGGTATGAGGACTAATATATTTTTATTATTATTTTTTTTTTATCAGGCATTAAACTCGAAATGTAAAATTAATTTTATCAAGGCAAGAAAAAGGCTCTTATATACATAATTTTAATTATTAAAATAATTAGATATTAAATTGATATTTACAACAATAGGTTTCTATTCTCTAAGTTAAACTGCGCCAGTTACCAAATCCAAAAGATTTTTCAAGATTATAATTTTAGCTTGAATCCGAGATTACATAGGTAAGATCCTTGCTATCATTTCTTATTTCACGTGAAAAAATTTTTTTCATTTTTCTTATGGCAATGATTTATCATACGATTTTTTGCATCTCACGGTTTTGTGATTTTACTGACATTAATTTGTGAATCACTTAAACTATGCCACTACAGAAATAGATGTTTGCATAATTATTTACTTTTCAGGTATGCTTTGATAAATTTAATTTGTATCCCTTTTTTTTATTTATACAAATTTTGCTATCATACGATTTTTTCATCAATTCATGCATATATATTAATTTGTGCATTGTCTAAACTATGACACTATCTTATGACTAAAAACAGATGTGCATATTATTTATTGTTTGGGTAAGGCTTAGATATACGTATATACGTATTAATTTAATTTGTATCAATTTCCTTTTTTATCTTCTATTTCTTTGTACATACATACGTACGTGATCTGAGTTCATGATTTTTTCTATTATAGTGAAAGTGATACTAAACTCAAAAAAAGAAATTTCAACAATGGCACTTAACTATTTTATTATGTTATTTTAGGATTCTGTCTATCGATACATAGTTTATTGGCTTGCGACAAATTAATCACAGTTGATGATTCTATTTTTTTGTCTATATACAAAACTATAATTAGTTATCATTATAAGCAAAAGTCCAGATAACAAATTAAATTACAATAATGCAAGCCAATTCTTTAAGTTTTCAGTTTATGCGCCCAAGTCTGAGTAAACGGTTGATTAACGAGAAGAATTAGCTAATTAATATGTAAATATCTAAATACAGAGGTAAAGTAAATAGATTCATATAGCGAATTGAATTTTTTTATAGTGAAGTTACAAGATATTTGACTTATCATGTTCACGTTCATATAGTCCAACAGAATATTCGGGCGAAAGTAGATAATATAAAATATCAACTCGAAGACTGAGGCACTTTGATTGAATGCGTCAGATGTAAGGTTTTTTTGTTATGAAATAATTACAAACAAGTCAATCTGCAGGCGAATTGTTATAAGCTAAGTATAATTCAATGATATCATATTATATATAAATATGATATACACATTCGAAAACATAATTCAACTTTATTAAGGGTAGGGTGTACAAATTTCCAATTTCATATAAAATAGATTGTAGATCAACTTTGTGTAATGAATTTTATAT